AAAGGCCACTATTGAAGCATCCTGGGCATCCATAACACCTCAGCAATGCCACAGGCTGATTGCCTCCATGCCACAGTAATCTGTGCAAAAGGATTCCCAACCAAGTACTGAGTGCATTAATGGACATTTTGAAATGTTTTTGTTTTGCTGTTATAATTTTTTTTTTACTTGGTCTGAGGAAATATTCTAATATTTTGAGATAGGATTTTTGAGTTTTCTTCAGCTGTACGCCATAATCAGCTATATTAAAACAATAAAAGGCTGGCGATATTTCAGTTGATTTGTAATGAATCCAGAATGTATGACATTTCATGATTTTTAATTGTATTACAGAAAATAAAGAACTTTATCACAATATTCTAATTTTCTGAGACAGTCCTGTATATCTAATGGGTTTATTACTTACCTCTGAACGTAGTGGCAGAGGAACATGGCGATGAGGAGCTGATTGGGTAATAGAGAAGTTTTAGATGAAGATGTCCAAAAAACTAAGCATAGAGGCAACAACAGGGAGGGCAGTTCCTGAACGAACCAGGCAAACTTCACATTAACAGGAAACCCATATTTGCTCGAAGCATACCTTCCGTATGGGACTTTATGGAAAAATAAGCTAACGAAGGTGAAAGCTGCCATGAAATTCATTAAGTAAGCCATGCAGTTTAAAATGTAGAGCTCCTGCTCCTCCGAGGAGAACAGCCAGGACAGGATGGTGTCCATGACGACAGAAAGAGGACAAAGGCTGAGTTAAAATATAACACTGTTCCTGCTACAAAGCTCGTTTGAACTGTTTCAATCGCTTTTACTGTCACGCAAAAGGGTACAAAACACCACTGCCGGGTGAGCGCACGCGAGGACAGCCCTGAACCAATCACAACTCGAACGATATTCTGTCAAACGAAATTATCCAATCACAACACTCAGATTTGCATCCGCGTTACTTAAGCGCTAAATAAACATCGCCCCCTTTAAATCTCCCATGAATAGTTGACTATTATTTGATTAAAACGTCAACTTAACAAACTGACTTTTTATATTTTGTAATACGAAAAAATACATATGTTATTTTTAGAAACTGGCATGTATATTGTTACGTTTTCTTTTTTTCTTTTTTTTTTTTAGAAACGCCCCTATCTGGCTATGCAAAGCTAGTTAGCCAATCAGAGGGAAGTGTTTAAGAGCCCACCTATCAGGTTGCCCTATAAACTACACGTGAAAACAGCTGCCATATTGCGAGTGGAAAGTATTGGAAAACTGAAAAAGAAGCAAAAATAAACATGTAACTGATTAATCTTTCTTTTTATGTATTCACCAATTAGTATATCCTAAGGGATGGTGGTGATTATATATAGTATAATAAACAATATCAAAAAATTAGATCAACTTCAATTGTTGTGTCCCTTACTATATACCAGATAAAGTTGATTAATTGCTGTTTGACCCTCTATTATGGTCTGTGCGTTGCAATGCTGTGTTCTTTGGATTGTTTCCTCTTGTCAGCATAACAATGTTCAGAAAAGCGAATACTGGCTCCTTTATCTGTAAGACCTTGGCAGCTCAGGAATTTGGAAGTCTTCTGACAACAGAAGCAAACAGACCTTGTAATATGTACCTCCAAAAATCGTAGATAATCCCTTATTTACTGAACTCTGATAGACTGGTGCAATGCAAAATGACATTAATAGTTTTTTAGCTTTTACAAGGAAACAGTATTTAGCTTAGACATTATTATTATTATTATTATTATTATTATTATTATTATTATTAT